GGGGAAAGGGAGCAGGGGAGGAGAGGGGAGAAGGGGAGGGGAGAGAGGGAGGTAGGGGAGAGAGGGAGGGAGGGGAGGGGAGAGAGGGAGGGAGGGAAGGGAGGGGAAAGAAAATGGGGAGGAGAGGGAGAAGGGGAGGGGAGGGAGGGAGAGGAAAAGGAGCAGGGGAGGAGAGGGGAGAAGGGGAGGGGAGAGAGGGAGGTAGGGGAGAGAGGGAGGGAGGGAGGGGAGGGGAAAGGGAGCAGGGCAGGAGAGGGGAGAAGGGGAGGGGAGGAAAGGGAGGGAGGAAGGATATAATTATCCCATAACTAAATTAGCTCTACTTGAGAGGACCCAAAGATAACAAAGTGAAGATCACACTCAGCAGTGTTTGATACATGACACTTGATTTTTATGTTCCCGCTCTTGAAAGTCTTGTTTTCCTCAGCTCCAGGTCAGCTCAGCAGAGCTTTAGCGGATACCAGGGGACTGGATGTCTGCTCTGAAAACGGAGCCTCATGTGGCTCTGGGTCCATCAACAGGTACAAATAACACGAAACAGGAAGTCACATCTGAAAAACGCAGTTTCCTGCCCAATCTGAACACGCGGACTCCCTGGCGGCTGCCAGCACTGCCGCTTGGCTGCCCTTGGTCAAGCATGCTGTGACGGGAGCCTCGGTTTCCTGAGCTGCAGGTTTTGACTTAGCTGGAACCAAGTTCTTTCCTTTCTTCATTTTCAAGTGTGTCCTGAGGCTCAGTGGCTCCACGTCATCCCCAGCGGTGGGATTAATTTTACACGGAGGGGTTCCCTTATGAGGTGTTGCCATATGCATGACGCAAAGGGAGACCTGCCCATCGGTGGGCAAAACCCCTTCTCAATGTGTGGGAAGATACTCGGGGCCGAGATCTTTTTTAAATTTTCACTGAGAAAATACACCAAGATACAAAAGTTAAAGAAAGGGAAAGTGAGCCCCCAGTGCACATCACCCGGCTGCAGACCCGGGGCCGGCCCTGCTTCTCACCCGGAAGCTGCCTGAGACCCGTTTCACCCATGAAGGCCAGCACCTCTGGAGAGGACGGTGACTTTAGGACATAACAGGATGGCCATGGCCACGCCTTAAAAATGAACAGTCATTCCTCAACACCAGCCAAAAGTCAGTGTTCACATCTCTCCAGTTGTCTAGTCAGTTTATTTTTCCAGTCAGTGTCTTGGAAATAATAATTCAATCAAGGCATACACACTGCACAGAGTTGACACCTTCTGAAGTTTCTTCATCTATAGCAAGGGTTGACAAACTTTTTCTCAAAAAAACTAGATAGTAAATATTTTAGGCTTTGTGAACATCTTCCCTTTAAAGAATACTGGAGTTTTTCCCAGAAATAGGAGGGAAAAGTCTGAGATACCTGCTACCTGCAATACTATTTAATATTGCATCAAGCTATGATTGGCTTATGCCATCGGAAAAAAGAAATCCATTAGAGACATAACAGTCAGAAGAGAAAAGGTAAAACAATCTCTACTTGGAGCTAATATGGCCCTAAATCTGAGAAATCCAAAATCAAATAGCAAAGAAAATTATTAAATCGATAAAATAATTTAACAAAATAGCAGGTTATAAAATCAATGAGAAAACATCAATAGCCTTTATATACACAAAGTTAGAAGATACACTGGGAGATGAGACTATTTGTGATAGCAAAAAATATACACCTGGGAATAAACTTAAGAAATGTTCTAATCCTTCAGAATAAACTTAATAAGAAATGTTCCAATCCGCCACAAGGAAAATGATAGAAGTCTGCTGAAAATACATAATTAAATTGAAATAAGTGAAAAGTCAGGCCCGGCGTGGTGGCTCACCCCTGTAATCCTAGCACTTCGGGAGGCTGAGGCGGGCAGATCAGAGGTCAAGAGATCAAGACCAGCCTGGCCAACATGGTGAAACTCTGTCTCTACTAAAAATACAAAAATTAGCCAGGCGTGGTGGCACGTGCCTGTAGTCCCAGCTACTTGGGAGGCTGAGGCAGGAGAATCACTTGAACCCAGGAGGTGGAGGTTGTAGTGAGCTGAGATGGTGCGACTGCACTCCAGCCTGGGCGACAGGGTGAGACTCTGTCTCAAAAACAAAAACAAAAAAAAAAAAAAAAGAAAAGAGAAGAAAAAGAAAAAGTCACAGTATGTTCCTGAATAGAAGAGTCAACACATGAAGATGCCAGTTTTTCCAAAGTTGGTTTATAAATGTATGCCAATTACTCCCAAAATACCATATATGCCATCAGGTTTTTCTTGGAGCTCCACAATTTTATTATAATTTTTTTTGACAAAACGAAAGAGCGAGAATAGAAAGGAACCCTGGGAAACAGAGTAAGTGGGATGGGGCAGGCTCAGACACTGGAACCTTCTGTGAGGCTCTCTGTGGCAGCTTGGTCTTGGCGTGTGAATTAGGAAGTAGATCAAAGGAAGAGGGGAAATCTAGAGGCAGATACAACTACATGTGGCAATGGGCTGTAAGATAAAGGGGCATCTCGGATCAGCGGGGAGAGAGGTGTTTTAATAAGTGGTGTTGCAGGCTGGGCATGATGGCTCACGCCTATAATCCTAGCACTTTGAGAGGCCAAGGCGGGCAGATCGTTTGAAGCCAGGAGTTCAAGACCAGCATGGACAATGGGCGAAAACCCATATCAATATCCATTTTTAAAAAATAGATTTTAAAATATTATTTTAAATTAATATTTTTAAAAATAAGCAGTGCTGCAGTAAATGAATAGATAGGCTTAAAACAGATAACATGGGGTCAATTCTTTATAAAGTGGACTGGGACACATTCTCAACAGACATGAGTTTAATGAAAATAAATCAAGCCAGGCATGCACCAGCACAGTACACGGGTATGTTCTTCCACAATCCGGCAGCCTTTTAACCTCTGACTCATGTAAAAGGGTTAGCAAACAACAGACTGAGAAGAGTAGTCTCTGCTTAAATTTCTCGGCTCTACCAAGTGCTCCTGGAAATAGAGAAGGAAAGGTCGATCCTCGTCTAGAACATACTAGAGAAGTGAAGAAGGCACACAAAGAAAGATGCAAGTCACGGAACCACACGAAAAGCTCAGCTTCACTCTGAAGAGAAGCTACACAGAGAACCCGTTTCTCACCCACAGATGGGAACCACCCACGGATCTGACGTCGAGCTCCGTGGCGATGAGGAGGGAAGCTGGCCTTGCCCGTGCAGCTGTGTGGGGAGGAGGGGTGGTTCTGGTGCCAGTGGGAAGCTGACGCTGGGGCCTGGCACTCCCGGCACCCACCACCCCGTCATGCCCGGCCACACGCAAGGCTCCTGTGCTTGCAGCCTCTCCTTCTCACTTTTTTCTCCATGCCCTTTACCATTTTCCTCCAACCTGGAATCTCCTTTTCCTTTTCCTTTTTTTTTTTTTTTGGAGACGGTATCACTCTGTCACCAGCCTGGAGTGCAATGGCGTGATCTCAACTCACGGCAACCTCTGCCTCCTGGGTTCAAGAGAGTCTCCTGCCTCAGCCTCCCAAGTAGCTGGGACTGCAGGTGTGCACCATCACTCTGCTAATTTTTTGTATTTTAATGGACACAGGGTTTCTCCATGTTGCCCAGGGTGGTCTCGAACTCCTGAGCTCAGGCAATCCGCCCACCTCTGCCTCCCAAAGTGCTAGGATTACAGGCATGAGGCACCGCACCAGCCTCCTTTCCCTTTTTCTCTGCCTGGTCAACTCCTGGTCAGCTGAGCTGTGGAGCCCTGGGTCCAGGGCCTCCCCCATCCCTGCCTCCCGCACCCCTGCCTCCTGCCCCGCTGCTGTGTTGGTGGCTTCCGTGCTCGGCGCAGCCTCCTGGGCACTGTCCCTACAGCTCTAGGTCTTGGTGGCAAAACTATACCTTCCTCTCACCTACAGCCCTTGTGTCTAACAGGGTGCCTGGCACATAACAGGTGCTGAGAAAATCCTTGAACTTGAATGACTATAGAAATGTAACACAAATGTGTGAGTGAGGAATATCATATTGTAAATTCCTGTTCTACGAGAACACAGCCAGGCGTCCGTCAGCTTCCTGATAAATGAACTTTTCTCAGAACAATAACCATTGCTTACTCTTTTTCTCCTTGCATTTTGAATCAAT